TGAGAAAAAATCCATTGTATTAGTTCACGATCGACACAAGAGTTTTTATGGTCCAAAAATGTGATTTTAAACCACATAGAGATTGGCAATCAAAATAACGTTATTTGATAGGCAAAGTAATATATCTTGGAGCAAGGAAAATAGCCTAGTTTTGGGAATTAGTGGAACAATAGTTTTTCCAGAAAACCTGTATTTTATGCATTTTCAGCATAATTATGTATCAGGACATTTAGTTCCAACAAGGATAATATTCAAACTTGGCTAGGGTCTGATCGTCTGGAAATAGGCCCAATCGTCTGTCACCCAAATTTTTCACTGCGATGATCAAGGACTTACGATCTGGACCTACAGTACTGTAGGCTAGGCCTAGCCTTGCAAGAACAGCTACTACTACTGTAGACCAAGGCCTAGGTGCCTCCTACCGTCATTCTGCTCTACAGTACCTACACCGTGTAACAGAGCAACCCACATGGTGCATTCTTAAAATATTACACGCATTACTTAAATGTATTTTACATATGAGACAAGAACATGAAAGATTAAATAATTATTAATGACATTTCTATCACCATCGTGTGCATAGGTCTCGATCTAGGCCTAAGAATGGATAAACACAAGCTCGGAAGTCGTTATGTACCCGACGGTCGACTGCCTTTAGGTACACTTTGTCGCCAGTTTGCGCCCAAATGGTACACTACCAGCTAGCCGGCTGTCGTGAATATAGTACCTTCATGTAATCGTCATAAATGAGGTGATTCACCTTCATGTAGTCGTCATTATACAGCCACTGCCCTGCATCCACCGCGTTAAAATAACGAATAACAAAATGCGAAGCACACAATGACGTTTGTAGCTAGACTACCAATACACCAACACAAATAAACTTTACATGGCTATGGATTGGCGGAAAATGGAGCTCGAACGAGAAAAAAAAACCCGATGTATTTAGGCAAGTATTTGAAACTTTTAAATGATTTTAAGCCTTCGCCAAAATGGCTAAAAGCAGTTAGTTACTTTTTCACCAATCCAAAATAGTAAGGGTCGCCAGATGGGGCGATACCCAAGACATTTTTTATCGCCCGACACCAAAAAAGGTCGCCACTGGCGATTGGGAGACCGCTAATTTCTAGCCCTGATGGAAATGGTACTCTCAGACTTAAATTTTAATATAATCTTCTTTTCTTCCATTTTATTTTAGAATTAAACCCAGCCACTATAAATTTTCCTACCGCAAAAATATCCACTCAACATAATTGGGGCTAAGGTGAGTAAATTTTTAACATAGAGGCCTACCTCAATATTCCTGGAAATGGCACTTTAAGACGGGGGTCCCAAGTTGTGACAGTGAAATTCAGGGAGATTGTTTGTGCAGGACAGGAAGCGGTTTGCGACGTGTGTACTAGCTAAAACGCATGTGCAATGAGATGCGTGTACTAGCTAAAACGTATGTGCAATGAGATGCGTGTACTAGCTAAAACGTATGTGCAATGAGATGCGTGTACGCATTTATCACCTTGATCAATATAAAAATAAACAGGCTTGGCAAGGTTTAGGTCACTGTTAATACCATATTGCTGCCTAGAATGTTCAATAAATCTTATGTCTGCTATATTTAATGCTTAAAGCCAGGCACTCACCGAGTCGTACGACTATCGCACGACGAATCCAATTCCGCTCCCTTTGAACGCTAGACCATGTGACTCTGTCTGATAATTGTGGGTGATCGCCTGAACAGATCATCTATAAAAACAATCCATTGAGCGCGCGCGTCGTCACGTTGTGTTCTTCGTAGAATGGAGTCGGCCGACCGTCGGGCAAAGTGAGTGCCCAGCTTCAGAATGGGAAAATTTAGCTTAGCATACAGTAAGCCCTATTGTGAAAATCTGTTATTATCCTGGAGAAATACCAGAGAAATCCAAATTCCAGGAGAAAAAGTGGAATTTCCGGGAGACGAACCTAATTCCTGGAGACTCCAGGCCAATCCAGGAGACTTGGGACCCCAATAAGACTTAAAAATAAGATTTTGGAAGCCTACATTTCCTTAAATATGCCACTGCAAAACTACCTTTTCCATAGCAAAGCATATGGGAGGTGATGTCATAAAGCCTCAGAGGTTATTTTCAGATGTCTAGAAAAAATTCTGCGGGGGCCCCCTAGGGTGGTGTTAGTTATCTCAATTGGCCCCACTTCCGGGGTCCCCTTTTTGGACATCTCTGGATCCGCCTCTGCTTAAATTGTTTACTTTGTCTTAAATGATGACTATAGTATTTCTATTGGAGTCTTAAGGTCAGATACCATGAAAAAGTAACAATATATATATACTACCAGTATAATACTGTTTTTTTTTACACCTTTTCTATGCCCTTGTTAATAACAAGGACAACTTTTTCTATGTGTACAGTATACAGTATCTCATCATTGTGAATCTTATAATTTAAACCAAATTCACATACTGAACAAAATGTAACTATATTATGGATAATATGGATATCTGCTCGAAGATGTTCCTTCCGAAATCTGTGTCACACACACTCAGTGCTTTCCATCCATGTACTGTACACTTTGCCATGTAAAAGTCTCATATGAAATGTAAGATTGATCAAATAACCAACCACAGGATATTATTATTGGTTTTAACAAAAAGAAATATTTACATAAACTTTATGTCCTGGGTTTATGAATACAGTACTGGCTAATAAAATAATCACATTGACAATGTTTGAGAGAGTTACTATAGACAGGGATGACATTGCTATCAATTGCATTGCCATCAATATTGGAATCATAATCATCTGTTTCTTCTTTTTAATGAACATGGATAATAAAATTCATAGTCCTTCATTGTAAAAAAAAAAAAAACTGACCTAAATACTTGGTTTGTTTTGATGCATTCTCGCCCAATAAGGCTACATGTATATTAAACAGAATAACCCAAATTGACTCAAATTTCTGGGCATGTGCAGATGGCATCCATATTGTCACATCACAATAACTTCGACACTGACAAACATTTCAAGTGTAGCCAGACCATGACTGGGAGATTGGGGCCACTAGATTCTCCCAGATATGATTTTTCATCTCTCCCTTCGAAAATGGCTATGGATTTGCTACAGTATATTGTGTACATTGTGTTATACTTTGTACCAAATTCATAGTTTGTATGCTAGGCTACCTGTTATCTGGAATCATCTACATTCTGACCTTTGAACCTGAAAAAAGTTGAATCAATTACCTACAATAAACACACACCTATTAAACAGATAGCAGACCTTTAATGCAATATTTACCTTTTCATCATTACTCTACAATCCTGATGATCCCTAGGCTTACACGAATTTGTTTTAACAAACTAATCAAAGGATAAAAATTTATATTTAGGTTAACTTAATACAGGGCGGTTATTTCAGTCATAAAAAAAATGTGGGTTATTAAAATCTTAAGGGTCTCTAAATCCGCCCCTAATCATTAAACAAGATTCTTGGAAGGACCCCCAGGCCCTGTCTATTAATAGACATCAACCATACCCATGTTGAGTTTAAATAAATGTTAAACCCTGTAGTCTTAGTACTGTAGACTAGCAAGGTCAGCCAAGGCGAGACAAAAGTGCAGTAGATTTTTTTTAAATTTTGAAACTATCTTCCACTGTTCAATGGTCAAAACAACAGTTATCATCAACACCATCATTCGCAGCACTGTAGATTATATACAGTACAGTACTTACTTAATCCTCTTGTCCCGATCAGTAGACCACTTCAATCAGTTTCTAGGACAAGCGAAGTGATGTAACTTGTAAGTTACTCAGGAGGAAAACAATTTTTGATATGTTGTAGATCTGATTTTTCTAAGACAGAAAAATGTTGTTTGACGAAAAACTGGGGAAAGGACAATGAGATACAGATTTTTGAATATTTAAAAACTGGGGGGAAAAGGTGTAAAATTGGGCAGTTACGCCCCTTTTTCCCCCAGTTTTTAAATATTCAAAAATCTGTATCTCATTCACCATTTCCCAGTTGTTTGTCAAACAACTTTTTTCTGTCTTAAAAAAATCAGTTCTACAACATATCAAAAAAAATGTCTTCCTCCAGAAACTGACTTTAAGTGCCAGACTGTAAAATAAGGCCTGCGCAGAGAATAGACTCCGGGCAAAAATTTAGCCCTAGAAATCCGTTCGCATATTTAGGAAAAGAAGGGCCTATTTCCTCTTTGACCTTTAATCTGAATAACCGATTAGGCAGTAGATACGATTCTGCACACATATTTCATAGCAATTTTCTGCGAAAATTTGAGTTAGTTTTTTAGGACGTATCATCCGCGCAATTAAAATAATTTAGTATATGTGTATAAGTGCTACAGTCAATTCAACTTGTTCCAAGTCCAACTTTATTTAACAGATCAATGCAGGGTTGTTCTTCCCTAGGGTGTGCATAAATAAATTTACAATATTAATATTTATTACTATGACTATACAAAATGACAATAAGTAATAAATTTAAAAAAAATTAAAATAAAAAATTAAACAAAAATAAAAATAGGCTAACCTAGGGGAGGTCCAGGCAGCCTAGGCCTAGACTATGCCTACTTAGTACTTAAATTAAATTTTGTATACTGATAATATCTACAGTAGTAACTAGGACGCTGAAAAAAGGTTATTCTTCTATAATAATGGTCCTGTTTATTGATTATAAATAAAGAAAAGCTGTGTTTCAGACTAGGGTACCAAATTTCAAAGCTCCGAAAAAGACACCCAGGCCTACATTAATTGACAACTAGGCTCCTAGGTTGGCTACCCCATGATGGCTAGACCTACCTAGGCCTACGCCTACGGCCAAAACGAATACAAAACTAGCCCAAGGTCAGGTTTCAAAACCACTTCACTAAACTACCTCATCTCGCCACCACCACCAGCAAGGAAATGAATGGATTAAGTCAATCAAAACCAATTGTAAATTAGGTTGTCTAAAGATTTATGAGCATGTGGTAGGGAACATGGATTTACTTACAGTTGTTTGTTCAATAGTTTTGCAAACTTGTTCCAAAGTAACCGAATTTGCTACAGTACAACTGTCCACAATTCAGACCCTCCTAGCTTTAGAAATGACCACCGTTCTCGCCGCCCAAGTATCTAACACGGTCTGGTCTGGTCTCGATTCGTACTTCCGGGATTTCAGATGATATTCAAGCGTTCAGAGTGTCAGAGAAAGGAGGAGGATACTAGTAACAACAGAGGGACAGTACCGTATAGTCGTCTACCAATTACCTACAGCTATATAATGACGATTCCGTTATAAAGCGTTTCATTGGTTATTATATCACACTGTAGCACAAACTAACACTGTAACATTACATTATTGCTGGATGACCAACGGCGGCGGAACGTTTTTGAAATGGGGTTGGGGATTCCATAATAAGGTAATAATTCCTATGCGAGCGAACCGAGCATCCAGGCTGGGGCCAGGGGTCCGTCAAGGGTCCCCGGTAGGGGTCAAATGGGTTCCCAGCCCCCTGAAAACTACGGATAGGCCTAAGCCTTTGGTTGACGAAGTTTGTTGAATTGTATTACAGTAGCTATTTTATAGGCATCACTATATAATACATAGTAATGAAATGACTTTATATTTGTTGTATTTTCCGAACGAATTCGAGATTGCTTCCACGATCACAATGAATGATTCATCATGTGAGAGGAGGGGTATCCATGGTACAGTATTCCCCGTCGAAACCTTACCTTTTCCCACAAATAAATATTATACTAGAAGCTCGGAAATGGTACTTCAACAATGGCGGATCCAGGAAGTAGAAACAGAGGGGCCGGGAGGAATGTAATGGTGTCTGGTGGGGGATAGTTTTTACCAAATTTAAGTCATGTAGTTAAGCCTAAACTTCAACAGTATTTCTGGCCCCGAAACCTTGACTTAGAAATACCTGGTTGGTGTCCGACACGGTGGCGGCTCTAGGACATAATTTATAAGGGGCTGTCTCTTATACACATCTAGATGTGTCTGGGGAGGGGGAGCTAAGTATTTTGGGTGTAACTCTGAGCGCGCGGCGTTATTTGAGGGCCAAAGGCCAGAGGCAGAGGTGGGTATGGGAGGAGGTGTCCCCTCCTCCCAAAACGAGATTATTTTTTTTAATGGGACTTCTAGATCCCCGGAAATGGCTGGGAAAACTAGGCCTATTTTTTTTTTTTTTTTTGGTTCGACTGCCCGACGAGCTTTGGCCGATGGGGAGGGGGGGCTTCACCAGACCGATGGCGCCGCCACTGGTCCGACGGGGTATAGCTTTCCACTAAAGATTTTACTATTTGTATTTTTATACTGTTTGCCATATTGTTTGTTGTTATTGTACAGTGTTTTCACAGGACCATATTGTAAAACAACTTAAGATATCGCGTCTGTATATTATCCTGCTTAAAGGTGTCACTTAAATTTAAAAATATATATATATATATAAGTTTGTGTTTTCTTCATCTTTTTTAATAATTTTGAAACATTTAGGAGGGTGGAGGCCCGTGCCGGCTGGACTCCGCCACTGTTTAATATAACACAGTGACCTAGTCTATCATTTTGTTTCACAAAATGACTAATTCGTAATGTCAAGCGAAAAGTGCTATAAATTCTGTAGTTAACCTACTTAAATAATTGCCTAATTAGGCCTAAGTCTTATTGTTTTCGTTAACTTAGATGAAATTTAAATGTGGTTATATTACGTTAGTTTGATTGTTTACTGTAAGCCAATCAGTTACACTTAGGCCTACATCTTCATCGTTAACATTTTCAGAACTAGAGCGTACGGTACGCCTGCCTGCCTCCGCCCTGTGCCTAAAAATACAGAATTTACTCAAGAAGGGCGAGCGATTACATTGTTTTCAGTGGCGTAGAAAAATATTTTTCATTGGGGGGGATGATTGGCGTGTTAGCCAGTGTCTTAACAGGCGCTTGGGGGGTGGGGGCAGGGGGAAAACTGCCCCTCCCCTGACGGTTTTTACCGGG